TTAGACACGTATTTTTATTTTTCTTACGAAAACAAATACTTTCTACGATATATTGATTTAAAATATGTGACGTCACTTTTGTGTACGTTTTATACTCAAAAGTGACGTAGCTAGCTCCCACTCTTGAACTTTAATTCATTTTATCTAAGTATCATTTTCTTATGTGTTCAAAAAAATACGTGTCTGATATTGTTTCATTACCTAACTGACGGACTAATTACATTTTTAATTTTCATACCCTGTCATCATCCCTATTATCCTTGTACTCACTTTATTCTTTGACCGGTTTCTTTTCAATGAAGGTTTATATTTAAAATAGAAATGTATGAACTTAACAAAATAGCATAGAAAGTTGTTTCTGTATATTCAGAGGTTTATTTAGGACTTCTCTGCCAGCTTGAAGAAATAAACAATTTGAATGAAGTTGTTTTTAACTGGTATATTCGTTGATAATGTTGTGTAAGCAACAATGTTTGTAAACAAAATGTTTTGTCTGCTGCATGCACTAGTTAAATTTAAGTTTAGATTTATATTATTTATGTGGAAATGTTACATTATTTGCGTTATTTAACTCGTCGAGTACCGGTTTTGTAGACACAATTATAGAACAATAGGTTTCGGTCACCGGTGACCGCTTGGTGTTTGACAGTTTAATTGAATTAAGTTTAGAATAATGTGTAAACCTATGGCATTTAATAAGTATTTAAAAATTTTGCTATTGGTATTCCTAAGGTTCCAGGTTGATCATACATTTTTAAGATTTAGGAAAAGTACCTTTTTCTCCCCCTTTCAATACATACAGCACATTTAACATTATGCAAAAACCGATATCGAAACTTAAAATTCTCTACCTAGTTTAAAACAACGCCACTTTTCACCGGCCCTGAATAACAACTAAGTATTCGTTTAACTAATAGCAATTGGAACTACAAACTGTATTTAAAGTGCAAATTAATAATAATAATTAATATTCTAATTAGAGAAAGACTAAAGTGCTTCTAGTAGTTGAAATTTCGACACTGGAGTCTGATACTAATTTTATTACCTTTAAGGTCTCTTTCACCACCATTAGGACTAATGAGTAAATTAACCGTCAGTTAAAGTCACTCGTAACTAAATTGTTGTGTCTATTTCGCTACTACTTCTACCAATAACCGTGTTTAATTGACGTATTGTATTCATAGAGTTTACGTTTTTGGCTGTATGTTGCCTTTGGATTAATTAGGTTTATTTGATTACAAATAATTACTGCCTCGTTGGCCGAGTGGTCGCAAGTGCGACTACTAGGCAAGGGGTCTCGGCATCGATTTCCGGGTCGGGTAAAGTGTTACTGGATTTGAAAAAATCAGTTGTAGCACGGAATCTGGAATTGTGTCCGGTATATGGCAATAGGCTCACCCTCTATTACATGGGATTAATAACATAAATAGTGAAAAGTAGGCGTTACATTATACAGTGGCTTTAAGTATCGTAATGTGCACCTCTGCCTGCCTTCGGGGATAAAATTCGTGATTTTATGTTATGAATTAGAATACTCCAGGCCGCAGCGGCCATCGAAGATTCGTGTATTTCTTAGATCCCATGTTGTCGTAGTGTAGTAGACATTTATTTGCAGCACCTCCGTCAAGTAGATATAGGACCTCTCTACTTGTTTTGTAATGCTCGTAAATTTTGACCTTTGGGAATTCCTTATAGTATGGTTGTAGTTTTGGTTGGAATACATTCATAGCAAATTCCTACCGTGTTTGAATTAATAGCCGGAATACTGTTTTTGTTGAATATAACACGATCTTGTTATTTCCCTAAGGTGGAATCTTAGGTGTAGATACTTACAATAGATACTGAAACTCTTAGGAAGTATTATATACAACTAATTAAGTATATTACCCTGTATTTATCAAATAAAAACTTCTAAGGACCTATTTTTCAATGTTCAGTTAAATTTTATCACAAGAATAACTTTGAATATTTGACAATTCTTCCATACTGAACTGTCAAATGTCAATTTTACTTTACAGTTAAGAATGAAAATTATCTTTTGGTTGAAACATCGGCCCTAAGACTTATTTCTACAACAATCTACTAGATATCAATAGCTAAGGGAATTTATACGTCACCTATATCCCTAGTTCACTTTCTTAGTTCCTGTCTGTGAATAAATATTTATGTACCCTATCAAATATAGTCAACCACACCGTAGCATGTGGTCAACTGCTCTATCGTACTTCGTTGCGAAAATAGCCCGTAACGCTTAGAGATAAAGGCTTTATTTCTATAGCTGTGACTTTGACTATAGCTAAACGTTGTATTAAGGACGCGATATGTTTATGCGCTCGGCGTGAGCGCAAACATTCACGCTATTACCCTTGCTCCAATTATATTAACCCTGTTATAGTTGACCTACATTCGATACAAGTGATATTTTCGCAAATCACAAAGCAAGAACATTTCCTGGAAAAGGGTAATATGACGTATTTATTCCTCAATAGCTTTTTCGGGTAGCTTTACATGCGTAAATGACTATGCAACATTTCTAGAAAATCGGTTTAGAAGCTATGAACCTTAGTTTGGCATCTATTACATATTCGTTATTGGGGTTTCAATATAGCCATGCTTCTACGTTAAGAATACCTTTCACTTATTTCTGAACAATTCCCGGCTCAAAAGACAATAATTTTATTTACTTATTTATTTTATACCACAAGGCCTTACTCAATCAAAAGACAAATCCGATTGAATATTCACTGTCTACAGAGACGAGTCCACTCTATAATGTATACCAAATAACAGTAAATGAATTCACTTGTGAAATCCCTCAGCACTTCAGGTGTTAAGGGTCTATAGGGCTCACTACGATTGAGGTCGCATCACCTTAAACAGATTACTTTAGACCGAAACATAATAACAACACCTACGCATTTAGGTGCTAAAACTTCAAAGGCCTCTTTCCTTTATTACTTAGAAGACCATATGAAGGTAAATATAAACACCTACGTTCAATGAATTTGATCAACGTTTTTAACTCGTCGAGTACCGGTTTTGTAGACACAATTATAGAACAATAGGTTGCGGTCACCGGTGACCGCTTGGTGTTTGACAGTTTAAGGACCAAGACTCTTGTGAAATTTTAGTCTCTTGAGTCAATAGCCTTTTTAAGTAATTAAGTGCTTACTAGAAACTTTCATTACCCTTTAATTTGCTTTAATGACGGAACTCATTTAAGGGTTTATCATGTCAGGGGACTTACTCTTGAATCCAATTTCGATCGATCGACATTGGTATTGTGGAATTTTGTACTCTTGAGTCGCTACACTAGCGCCCATTGCATCCGTATTGCGTGGATATTGAATGAACTAAATGGTATTGAGTTTGGCTTTACATTCCGTACTCTGAATGCTGAATTTGAACAGCTAGGGTAGGGGTTGTATAGTTTTGACATTGAATCATCATTGAGATTTTATTAAATTGAAATTGCATTGACATTGAGATTGGTTTCAAGAGTAAGCACCCTGATAGGTATAAATTTATTTAAGTATCAAGTTCCGCTAATCAAAGTGGATTATTTTTTGAGAAGTATGTATGAGCTTTGTAGGATTTTTTTATAACAAAATGTGATGAAGATTTCAATAGTGATTAGGGCAACGTTACCATTCGAAAACAATCAAAACAGCTGAATGTGTTACAACACTTATTTCTTTAACTTCATCTTTTACAAACATTTTCACCCTAATACCGAAAGGTTACTCAATTTTAACTCGTCGAGTACCGGTTTTGTAGACACAATTATAGAACAATAGGTTGCGGTCACCGGTGACCGCTTGGTGTTTGACAGTTTAAGTTGCATTAAGTATCGTGCCATCACTGTCATTTTACAAACAGTTTTAAAAAATATAACAGAACTATACTTGAGCGTGAATTAGAATTGAGTAGCCTTTCTGTATTCGGCTGTTTATTCTACAAGCATTTTACATAAGTAAGAAAACTAGTGTAGCTGTAAATTAATAGACTATCAGACTATGATATCAAAACTATTTGAAAGTTAGTATCGCGTGTACGATCAAAGCTTACGGCCCAAATGTGCGGTGGACTGCGAAGATGCGACTCACAGGGTAACCCAGCTAGAAACCGTGTACGCATCAAAACAGCCTATAATTATGGCACAAACAACTACGTGGATATGGATTATGTAAACAGTTTGCTTTTGTTATCTTTAAAATGGAAAAATAGATTTTATAACTATTTTATATTATTGGGTTTTTAAAGAACGACCAATTTAAAAGTACCCTTAACCGACGAGCATGCATGAACAGATTGACTGTTGATGAAGCGAAAGAGGTATGTAGGAATCGTAGTAATTGGCGTTCCATAGTCTCTGCCTACCCCCATGGGAGACAGGCGTGAAGTTATGTATGTTATGTATGGATTTAAAAAAAAATCTCAGTAGTAGCACGGCGCGTCTGGAATTGTGCCCGGTATGTGGCAATAGGCTCTCTATTACATGGGACTCCTAACATTGTAGTGAAAAGTTGAAGTTACATTTGTACAGTGGCATTAAGTACCGTAATGTGCACCTCTGCCTATCCCTTCGAGTTAAAAAGGCGTCATATTATGATAAGTAATTTACTGTAAGGTTCTTCCTTGTTTTTGGATGCAATCAATGTTCAAAAGTAATATAACTTTTGAAAACAGTACTTATAATTTCAGTTGTTTTTTTTATGACATAAGCTGGTAAACGAGCAGACGGATCACCTGATGGTAAGCAATAGTCGCCACCCATGGACACCAAAACCACCAGAGCCGTTACAAGTGCGTTACCGGCATTTTGGGAATTAGGAATTCGAAGATTGTTGGGGATTCAGGGATTAGGGTGATTGGGGAGGGGTAATTTGGTCTTTTTATCCTCTAAATCGATTGTAAGTAATGTTGTATTGTAAATAGTGTTCTCCTACGTTATTTACATAAATTGTGCTTATCTAATAAATGTGTTTGTTTTGTTACAGGCAATGAAGGATCGGGTACGAAATCGGTAAGTCTCAATCTCTATACATTATTTACACAATATTTACTAATTCAATATTAGTATACAGATACAGAAGTACAGAACAGATACAGAATAGTATCATCATCATCATCATCAACAGCCTATAAATGCCCACTGCTGAGCAAAGCCTCTTCTCACACGGAGAAGGTTAGAGCATTAATCACCACGCTTGCTCAATGCGGGTTGGCGATTTCAAACTTATAATTAGAAATTATAAGTTCAGGTTTCCTCACGATGTTTTTCCTTCACCGTTTGTCAGTGGTGTCTAAATAATCTTAGAAAGTACATATAACTCGGAAAAAGTCACTTTGGTACTTGCCGTTGGTAGGTTTCGAACCCGCACCCTCATGCATGAGAAGTGGGCGTCTTAAACCTCCGGGCCACCACGACATTATAGAACCAGAATAGTATACAGAAGATCTTTCCTTAACTTTTTGCTACAGGATCTAACCCACATTCGTAGAGCCAAAAGTTAAGAAATAACCTCCTCTATGCCCCTGTTCCATTTGATCCATAATTCCAGGGACACCCTGTACAGTTTTCTACACGTGTCAATCATATAACACATGGATTCCAACTACACGAGGGAATTCCATATCTAAATAGTTATATTTAGAACTCAAATTCCAATAATGTATAAAAGTATTTTAATACCTCAAAGAATTCAATCAGAAACGCTATATATAAACATCTTTTCCTATGAGCATTCTATATTTTCTCCATATTAAAATATCTTTTATAAACTCCTCGTACAATTTTCTTTACGTTGAATTAAAATTACTTTTTCTCTCGTCCAATTATTGAATGTTGTATTTTCCATTGTTATTATTTTCTTGTTTGATAAATAAAGAAGAATATTGAAAACGACGGGTTTTAAAATATTAGATTAATTTTTTTGATTAGTATTGTTTTAATTTCATATGTCTGTTTTTTTTTCTTTTTTAAACGTTGCCCCGCACTAGCTTTTTCTCCTGTGTCGTGGGTGCGTTTACAAACATACAATTTCACATACAGATCACACCCATACCCGAAACATCAATCTATGGATCACACAATGAGTTGTTCTGTGCAGTGTGCGGGAATCGAACCCGCGACATATTGCATGGCAGCCAGTTGCCCAGCCACCGCGCCAACCGTTCAGTCATACCGCCAACAGTTCATACATATATTAAGTTTTAATTAGTTAATCTATTTTTAATATTTCCTCCACACAAGCATTCATTTCTTATATTGCATGTGTGTTAATAATCACATAATATGAATCGATTCTGATAACAGATTTTTATCAACACAGCGGAGAATCTTACTAAAATCGATTCGCAAACTGTACAAACTCTATAAAATAATTGCCATACGAATTCCACCTCTATACACATACACATACGTTTCCTAACATTGTAACACAAACACACACCTACCAGCTAATCTCACAAATCTATCACTATTTGCATTGGACCACTTTAACGTAAATATTCCCAGTACCAGAACCCTTCACTTAGCTTTTACTATAAATGTTTTGCAAATTCCCAACAGGGATCCGTTCAAGTGAAAAAGGACTGCAATTGAGTGCAACCTTTCGACCAATAAACTGTAATAGTGCACTAGAGAGCTATGAAGAAACTATAGCATATCTAACATGTGTGTTTACTTACTATGTACATGTATAAACATGAAATAAGAAAAGGTTACTTTACTTACATTTGCAAATTTTTTTAATATAACATAACATCACGCCTTTTATCCCCGAAGGGGTAGGCAGTGGTGTACATTATGCCACTGTACAATGCCCACTTTTCACTATCAATGTTATGAGTCCCATGTAATAGGGGTGAGTCTATTGCCATATACCGGGCACAATTCCAGACTCCGTGTTACTACTGAGAATTTATATAAACCCAGTAGTACTTTGCCCGACCCGGGAATTGAACCCGAGACCCCTTGCCCGGCAGTCGCACTTGCGACCACTCGGACAACGAGGCAGTCATTTTTTAATTTTTTTTAATAATTATTAAAGCTTTTTGTTATTTTGAGAAATTCTCATTAGTAGCACTGAGTCTCGAATAAGTCCTGTGGTTGGTAAGAGGCTTTTTCAAGAAACAAGTCAGTAATAGATAGATAGACTCCATAAAACTTATAAATGGTAAAAAAATGGTTATACAGAGAATAGAAGACGCGATGAAGTATACTAATTTTATAAGTTACGTTAAATCACAACGTACCTGTCCAAAAACACTATGAGAGAATCAATCTAATTATTTATGCAAGTAGGCAACATTGTACTTACAAGTATAATCAAAGAACACTCTTATCCATTAACAACAAACACTTTACTATCTACTCAGCAAATGCTTTTGGTAATTGCTCTCTCTCTAATTTTATTAGAAATCTAATATTGATAAAATACAGAATATCTAATTTCGTAAATTAATTAATTGACTTTATAAAATAAGGTAACGTTTGAGTACTATAGGTAATAAGTACCGAAGTCTAGTTTTCTGTCAAGTCAGTACGATTTTATACAAGACCAGATCTTCGCTGTTCAAGGATTACTCAGCGATTCCTCAGAGTGGTAGCCTAGCCATTTACTTAATTCCTCTCTCCGGAATATTCTTTAATGTCTATAATCCTTATAGCTAAACATTAATGTAATATGGATTACGGAACATTTTCCATTCTATAAGACCTTTTATAAAGGAAATATTTTATCAACTAAATCATAAACTATATCCTTTTCGAAAGAATGAAATGAGTGCTACTAAATATTTCGTAGACAGATTTTCTTGGGGAGCATAAGTGAAATTAAATATGTACAGATGTCATGTTCGGGGTCAATGTAATTTGTAAGATATCTAGTAAATCTGATTCCCCGAGGGGTAGGTAAAGATATACCACCTACATACAGATTTTGGCACCCACATCTATATGTATACGTATATAGCCCGATTTAATGACAACAAATGGAATGTAGGTAACACGTGGAATGAAATTAAACACTAGAACGAAATAAGGTTTATTTATTTATGACGAAATATTAATACGTACATTCGTACAAATATCAGCACATTAAACTACTACTGCTAAGTCGAATTCTTTGAACAGATTTCAACTGAATTGCAACCATTATAAGGTTTAAAATCTATTACAGCAATTTGACAAATTGTGGTAGCTAGTGCTGCTGGCTGGATAATAAAACGAAGATGTTAAAACTTGGAGGTTGATAAGTTTATAGCAACTAATATTCACACTCCAGCTTATATATTCTAGAATATTCTTAGGACGTAACAGATTAAACAAAACACATACTTGACTCTGTGGAGTAAAGTCTGTAATTACTTTTAGCTTTATTCCGCTTAATTGCATTTTCCCACTTTTATAGAAACACGTATTATGTATGTAAATACTTCAATGAACTTAACTTATGAATATGAGGTTACTTTCTTAAAAATAATACGGTACATTTTACACAAACCCTCATAATTTACAAGCTTTGTGCCTCTATATTTAACATTTGTAAAAATGTGACTAGATTTGTTTCATGAATTCACAAAGGAATTTGTCTGTGTTGAAAGATTTGTAGTAGATTAGGTAGGTACAAATTGGAACTGTTTTGGTTTTCTTAAAAAATACCTAAGTTGTTTCTGGTTTAGAAAGATTTTAGTAAATGACTTTTTAAGATTTTTTTTAACACAAATATATCGTTGTTTACCTTTCAATCTAGGCGGAAAATTACGAATATCCTTAATCATTAACACTGTCCCTTATATCAACTACGTCCAAATATAGCATCTTCCAAGAAAACATTGTTTTAGGGTTATCTTTGTCAAGTTTACATAACCTTCGCGATATAATTATGTACATATAAATAAGGGTATCTATAGGTACTTTCCATTCATGTACCAATTGTTTTTCCGCTCACTAAACAAGGGCTTTAAACTTTATGTTCACGACCTGTCTGGGTCCCAAAATAACCACATTATGTACACATTCATAAAGGCTAAAGGTTTACAGAATACCTACAAGCAAGTCTTAAAATAACTGCGAAGTTTCAAATTGAAAGACCTTTATTGAGTACTTTTACAATAGCTGTTGTTTATTTTCATTTAAAAGAGAATCGTTTTGGCTTTTACCGTCTTTTTGTAAATAAAAAGTGCAAGTCATCGGTCTGCGGAAGGGTTCTTGTATTTATGTTCCTTAAACGATTAAGGTTAAGGTTTAATTTTGATAGGATAAACATTTAGTAAGAAAGCTTTTATTATAGACAATCTGGATTGTAATAGATCCGGCATGGTGCAAATTGTTCCTAAATGAATACATATCACGGATTAAAGCATTAAGCGAAACTTTTTTCTGATTTTTGCTGATCTTAAGATCTTATTGCAATCCATTCATTATACCTAATCTAGAATCTAGTGTACCTAATCTAGAAAAATCTTGCATAAGTTATTTTGCTGAATGACGCATTTTCACCCGTAAAAAGGTACCTACCCTGCTCGCCGCAGACATATTATGTTTCAAGATTTCATATTTCGATTCATCTTAATAAAATTTGAGATGTATTTATAGACAAATGAAAGATATTTATAGAAACATCTATTTCAAATAAAGTACTTAATTTATGGTTGAAATGTAAGCATTACTTCTATTTGAGTTCCACCTTATATTGAAGAATCGTCTTAGAATTTATTTATAGAAATGTTTATTGTTCCACAAGAAAAAGTAATTGGATTCTGGTACTGTGGTAGGGATTCTATTTATAACTTTGACCGTTCTAAATATGGTTCTCAAATATCTATACGAATATTATATATTGAAAGTCTATGTGTATGTTTATTTGGCCGTCTTTGACGTTTAAGTAGTGATAGTTTAACGATATCGCAATTTCCAAGATAGAAAACTAAATATTGGTCTGTGGACTATTTGTGACTAACAAAAAACCGCACATATGCTTTTGTAAATATAAAAAAACCTTCTTTTTCTTAAGGGGG